CTGAGAGGATCATCTCTAGTCTTATGGAAGAGCTAGGCCAGACACTTGGTTGACAGTCAGTGCAAATTTCCTAATAGGTTTTGTCTCTTGTCGCATGCTAATAGTCTCTTACTTCACTGGGAGCAACTGGAGAAAAGAGTAGTGAATATGTATTTGCTAGCTTGAGTGAGCATCAGCATTTTCTGGTTTAAAATGGAGGCTTAAAAGAATATCTAAGTGACCTAGGAGTTAGTCTTTCCTGTAACAGAAATGTTTTTACTTATGTAGCTTTTCCTCAAAATAGGGAATGGATTCCCAGTTCTTACTATACATGTCACAGGCTCTGCCATCCCTCGTGTGGCAGGACTAGAGGACTTTAGGGTAAAGAAAGGGCTGGGAAACAGAGTCCAGCTACCAGCACGGCTTATTCAGCCTCAGCCCTTTCGGGAAATGTCTCTGGGAAGAAGGCTGTCGGAATAAGCTCCAGACTGGAAAACCTGTTGTGGGCTGCCTGCAGCCCGTAGCCTGCAAGCTCATCAGCCTGCCATACATTAGAAAATCAAATTTTTGTAGAATAGTACCTTAAAGGGAAATACACGAATGTAAAAGAAATACATGTTGCATAAAAGCTGCATCCATTAGCCAATCTTCTGCATTTACCCATTTCTTAAAAATAGAAATAGTCTTTTTCTTCCAAGAAAGTACAGGAGGAATGGGGAGAAGTCATACTATCTGTGGAAAAAGAAGTATGCATCAGTACTGGTACTTTCATAAATCCACTCTTTATTAAATATTGTCTGAATAGCCCTTCTAGAACTAAATGCTGTGCATGGGGTCTGATATGTGTCTCTCCAAGAATTAAAACACTTGTAAGAATTTTTGTTCTGGTGTGTTTTTTTTTTATTTTAATTTGCATCTGCATCTAGAGATTGAAAAGTCAGCATCCCTAGGGAACACAAGAAGGAGCAGTGAAAGGCTTCAGGGAACCTGTGCAAACACCCAGGAAAGGCTGCAGTCTTTGTGGCTGACTGCAAGAACATCTGAGATTTAGGGTGTTTTGATGTATGTCCTATACCTGCTGTTCTCTTGATGTTTGTCAAGACAGTGGAGAACCAAAAGCCAATTTTCATCTTCATTTCATGTTGAAATTGATTACCAAAAATCAACCAACCAAAAAACCCAAAAAACTAAAGGGATTTGAATAGATTGGTAGCATACAGAATGCCTTTCTCAGGAATATTGAGATTTAAATAATTAATATTGGAAAAAATATTTGTTAAGGCCGTTAAAGGAATGTCCTGTAGATGTGCTGTCTGTGTGGGGTTCATCTTCTGGACACCAACTAGTGTGGCAAGTGGAACTGGCAATATCAAGAATAGTTACCCACAGAGGGAGCACCTACCTGCATGGATGGCCTGAGTGATGGTTGGAAAGATAAAATCCTTTTTTCCTCCCTGCTGTGGCTTTTAATGCAGTTAATGTAACAGGTCCTTGATCAGTCTTTGATGTGAGCTTCCAGGCATGATGGCAATCCAGATAAATAGTTATTAACATTATTGTTATGCTTGTTTGATCTTTAAAATCCTTCAGTGTTTTGAGCTTAGACTCTGCTGCTGCTCCTTTCTGCCCAATACAGAGGCAATCAGAAGCTTTGTCAGGGACTCCAAGAGGCTTTGTTTTAAACAAAACAGTGCCAATTGGAAATTACATTTTTCTACTCTCTCACTGTATTAAAAACATAAAATTGAATGTAGGCTTAAAATAGAAATGTGAGAAGTCAGGTTCAGAAATGTTGGAGGTTTTGTTTGATGTTTTTGATCAATCTTTACTAACCCCTATGCTTAGCTTTTGTAAAAGTTGGATAGCATTCATTGATTTTCTGGATTTTGGAAGTGGAATGTCTTAAAAACAAAGGTGTTCAAGGCATTTTGCAAGGCAGAAAAAGCTTGTAAGACTATTCTTCAGGTCTGAAGTAATGCCTTAGTTAGAAGAAAGAGGAAGCTGGCAACGCCACTTTTAGAGAAGCTGGAATTGGAATTGCTTTTGGTTTCCTTTCTCTCTGTTGTTATTACTTGTTTCTGCTTATGGCAAAGACTATAATGGATGGAGATAATCTTTTCTGCAAAATTGTACAACCTTAGCCAGTTATCCCTCTGTGCAAAACTCAACGTTTCAGTGGATGGTGACCCAGAAAGGATGAGTTAACTACCTTGAGGTGAGTTAACCCAGTCTGAAGACTCAGGAGCTTTACCCAAGGTCAGAATAAAAGGTTTTTTCGTTTCTCCATGCATAGGGATGGATTACACTCTGGCTGCTAAGGCAGCTTGTGCAGTTTCACACACTACCAGCTCACATCACATTCATGTAACTGGAAACCAGTAAGGTGGAAACTGGAAGTGCCAACTCAGATCAACTGAAGTGTGGAAGAGTTTGTGTTATCCCCGGCGTGCTGTTAAATGGCAGCTTCTCCAGGTGCTTCCTAGTTGTCATTGTAGTGCCTGCACACGTCAGCGCTGCTGTTCCCTCATGCTGGGAGCCTGTTTCTGCCTGAGCTGCGAGAGCCCAGGCTGATGGATGAGCCTAGAGCTCTGCCCAGCACCCCGTCACCCCCAATTCTCAGGGGGCAACCTGGCTGCTGCTGTCAGTGATGTTTCTGGACAGTCTGAGGAAAAGGAATGAGTTTTGAGTGGTGACTGGCAAAGGAGGGCACGCTGTTTGCTTCAGGGATTTCAGGAATAGATTTGTGCATCACTTAGCAGCACCTGAGCTAGCTTGATTAGAAACGTTTTTATACATCCCCAGGCTGGAAGTGTGACCTGACCTTTGTCCTTCCTCCTGTTAGTGAGCAGGTGCTTCCAAGAGAAGTCCTGAAAAGACATCTGCCTCTACAGCGAAGCAGCAGTTAGCTATTAATGTGAATATCAGCTATTTATCACTCCTCCTGCCTCCTCCCACCTCCATTTTGCTTGAGCAAATGGAAAGGTTGAAGTACGTCTGCGTATGAGCAGCTATACTTGTCTGGTGTGTGTTAGCGTGACTGGTGGGAACTGATTTTCCATCACAAGCTTCTGTGGTGCATCCCTTCCCCACCCATCGCAGCTGTAAACAGCTGATGTTAATTATTATCCACCTGCTGACTGTGCCAAACAGACATGCCATTGCACTGTGACAAAAAAGGCTCCCGGTCTATTAAGTCCTCCCTCATACCTTTAGTAATGCTGATAAAATGCTGACCTGTTTTTACTCTGGTGGCTGCTGTTGCTAAGCACTGAGAATATGACCTGTCTCCTGCCATAATCTGCATTGCACAGTTCAGATGATCTTCCAAGTGAGAGAGTTTTGGTGCATCCCTCAACGCAGCTATCCTTCCCCGTAGCCTTTACAGTTCTGACCACGTAGTTTGCAGCAGTACCGTGTTTTTGATAAACCCTAATTAAACATTGCTGTTTGGGTGTTGTTTCCCTGGAAGCACATCGCAGAAGTTGGTTTGTAATGATCAATGTTGCGTGCTTGGAAAATATTGATTAAGAGCAAGGAAGGTTGTAAGCTAGTAACTTCCCGCTTCAAAGTGTAATGCCACATGCAAAACTGGGGAGAAAATTGTCTATAAGTATTGTTTCTCTTGTTGGAAGAGAGAGCTTGAAAGTACTAGTAAATAGTCTTGTAGCTTGTACAGGCACAAAGAGGAAATCAGACTTCATACCCGCTTACCATTTTGCTCTCATTATGCCCAAAATTCCTTCGTCCTGCACGTGAAGGTGGGTTCAGATGGGCTTGAAGCAATGTTTGAACAGAACATAAGAAACACAGAAAATAATTTGAACACTGTGTAAGCAACTAAGTTTGGTGCCAGAGTGTTTTCTATTTCTCTCAACAGTTACTGCCTGTGATTTTTTTTTTTTTTGAAGCTAACTGTTGCACTGTTTTAGAGCCTTAGAGGATTGTAAATCACTTCAAGTTGTAGTGATGTAAGCCTGTGACAAAATGATACTGAGGGGAAGAAAAAAGACAATTCCTGTTATACCAATGGAGAAGAGAGCATACAAAAAAAATGTGTTGCCTGTCCAAGATGCCAAGGAAAGCCGTGGCACAAATGAAATCAAAGATTATATGATTTGTCCCTCTTGAAAGCTAACCCAGCGCATTCTACTTGCTCTAAGGCAGGATCAGCATTATCTAAACCTTCCTTGGTGGATATTTGCATAACTTGTTGTTAAAACCCTCCAGGGATGGGAATTACTTTCAGTTATTCTTTCATGACTTAACCATCCTTTCTGACAGCCTTATAATCAAGCTGAAGTCATCATAAAGCAAATTTGCACAGCTATCTTTAAAGCAAGATCTCAAAAAAAAAAAAAAGTAAAATGCATTTTAGATAATGGCCTTGTACCTAGGGATTTCTGGCTACTTCACTGAACATGGACAGATAATGTAGATTAAATGTGCCGTAAAATGCGAGAGGATGGAGAAAATAAAATGTAATCAGACAGTAGATTTTTTTTTTTTAAATGCCTTAATTTGTAGAACCACTCTTTTTCATTCAGGTAGTCCAGTCCTTCAGCATTGAGCATTTTGGATTTTTTAAATCTGTCCTGTGAGGTCTCACAGTGCTGATCTGCTCTGTTCAGCCTGGACAGTGAAGGTGGCACTTCTGGAAGGAGCAGAGTGGTTTCCATGGAGTCCTATCCTGAGCCCCACCACATTGGTCTTCCAATGCTGGGTACCAGATGTGTCCCTGGCTACTGGCCTTGCATGTTAGACCATGCTGTGTAATTCATGTTCATATATGAAATTAAATCTTGTGCTTCCTAATCAGACGGACAGCCTATTTACACCAGAGGGAGTTTGCCTGAGCAAGGAGGGCAGGATTTGACCCATATTTGATAAGGCAGTTTGGGATCCTTTTGTATTCAGTTACATGTACATAAAATATGTTGTATCATCAGTAACTTTTTTGCTGAGGGAATATAGTTTTGTACTGTGCTGTAATTTCTAATGAGACTTTTCCTTTTTTCTTGTAGTCTGACACAAATGCAAGTTACCTGAGAGCTGCTCGAGCTGGCAACTTGGAAAAGGCTCTCGACTACTTAAAAAGTGGAGTGGACATCAACATTTCAAATCAGGTTGAAGAATATTTTGATAAAATTTCCTGGATAAATACCTTTCTCACTATTTCTTGAATCTCTCCTTATATTTGCAGTTCATGCGAATGGTAACTCGTGCCTTTTGATGAGCTTTGCTTGCATATTTTATCCAATTAAAACTTCTACCCCTTAACAAGAAACCACTTCACTTTCATTTGGGGAATGTTGTGCTGTTTAATGTTATCTTTCATTTCTTTTGTATTCCATCAGATTGTGCGACAGCGCACAGAACTTGAGACCCTAGAGCTGGTATATCCTGACCTAATTTGTACTCTTTCCTTATAATCTAGTTCTTGTAAAGTTCACATAAGTGTAGTTTTTGAAAGCAGTTCTCTCACTGGGATATAATAACTTGTCTCCTCATACGTTTGCTGTGCTGGAAGATCTTTGCCAATTTTTCCTATTGCTTTTTTGTCTTTTGCTTCTTATTTTTAATCAGAATGGGTTGAATGCTCTCCATCTCGCTTCCAAAGAAGGGCACGTAGAAGTTGTCTCTGAACTGATACAGCGAGGTGCCAGTGTGGATGCAGCAACAAAGGTCAGTCAGGCCTGTCTAGTTGTTCTCCTGTTCACACTGATGGCATGGGCACAAGGTGTCGGCCAACTGATTAAAGACATTACTGCAGCAGAAATTGCCCATTGTGCACAGGTGGGGTGGTCTCAATAATTGTTTTTAGATTAATGTCGTAAATTACTAGGAGTGGGATTTACTGAGCAAACTGTGGATTCCTGTCTTGATTTCTGTTCTTGTCTTCAGGAATAACTTACCCGTTAGAAGCATTTAGTATTTTATTGCAAGAAATACTCTGTTTTTTAATGGAATATGTTCTTGTTAGTATTGTCATGTATCAAAGCTCAGGTTTTGTAGCCTTTTCAAATATCACCATCTCTCATTTCAGAAAGGAAACACAGCGTTGCACATAGCATCCCTCGCTGGACAAGCAGAAGTAGTCAAAGTGTTGGTTACAAATCGGGCCAATGTCAATGCACAGTCTCAGGTAAAGTAATATTTCTCCATTTGGTACTACCAAAACCTTTTCTGACGTTAAAATTGTTCTGTCCTAGTAATCTATAATATTAGTAAGTATGTTTGCTAGATCTCATTTTGTTAATTCTGGCTCTTGAAAATAGGGTTTGATAGACTCAGTAAGATAGTTGTAATCCTGCTATCATAAAAAAACACATTCTTTTTTGGCTGTTCCACACGTAGGTAGATGGTAACAGGTGCAAAGACCAAGTTTAAACACACAGCTGCTATTTTATTACTGAAGCAGGCATTCTAGTGAGTGTAGTGTTGAGTTCATTCCCACCTTGTCACTAAACATACAGTTACAACACTAAATGCTTCCAGCTCTACCCCTTGCCAGGTGGTCACTGTGTACCCAGAATCATCATGGACATATCAAGTTTTGTCATCCCCCATAGGCATGACAGCACAGTGAAGTCCTGGGTTGTATTTAGGTCTTTTCCCACTTGGGATGGCAGCCAGCAGTTGGCATTAACTATTGAGTTGCCCAGCTCATTCATGAACAGCAGAGGCATAGAAATAACATCTCTATTTTAAGTTGTCCAAAGTCACATGAATGCGCACCCCTGGAGGTGAAGAAAGCGGAGACACATCCAGGGGTGTCTGCAGGATACTGGAAGTGGTTGTGTAACAGGCAGCACAGCAAAGCCTATACCCTTTAAAAAAAATCGTGTGTGCTGCCAATTGTTAGAGAGTCAGAAGAGATGCTGATAGAACAGCAGAGTGGGAGAGAACTTGTTCAAATGAAAGGGATTCTGTTTCACGTAATTCACTGTCTCAGGCTTAATCAAGCTCATCCCCTTTCCTTGTACAAGGAGGTACTGCAAGCATATGCAGTTTTTAAGTTTGATCAAGTCCTTTGAATTAATATTTAGGTCAATTACAGAAAATTTAAATTAAGGGAAAACAGTGCCAGTGTTAAGAGCAAAGCAGTAAAATGACACAGAAAAACTGGATCAAAAAATACATAAACTGTAGATTGCTGAAAGCCTGGTGGCTGTGCCAAAGGAGGTGTCCCTACACACCTGCCCCATTCCTGTTCTCTCTGCTCAGGGGCTGGCTGGCAGGCCGTGTCAGAGGAGGGATCAGATTAAGAGATGGTCTTCTCATCTGGCTCAGTATTGCCATTCTTCTGCATTATAAAAATGAGGGCATGATAGAAAATGTTTGGTAAAAGGGGAAGTTTTAAAATTTACGTTTTAAAGAAACATAGGGAGGTTTAATGGTCTCAAATAATAAAAAAAAATATTTAATTGACTCTAAAGAACGTTAGTTATCTGTCGTCTGTATTTCATGTTTCCTTCAGGTGGACAAAGGAAATAGGTGACTTAGTTCTCCTTTCTTACTCTTGTATTAACTAGATACAGCAATATTCAGTTCCAGGCATTGTGTAACTTGAATTTAAAGACAATAACAACAACAAAAAGTATTTTTAGGTAAAATCTCCTATGACTATTAAGAAGTAAGACAAAGCAGAAGTATTTCCAGTGGCTTTCCTGTTAAAGAAATTAAGATGGCTTTGAAAGGTTCTTTTCTGCTTGTGTTTGAAAACTTGTGTATTCAGCCCTGAAACTAAAGATAATCTGAAATTGTAAACATCTTATATAACTACATTGTACATTCACATGGAGATTTGGCAACATTACCCTTATTTTGCTAACATATGAGAATTAAAGATTTATTCCCCCCTCTCGCCATTATGCGTGCCTTTGACGTTTTTGCTCGAGAGACGTGTATATTGGCCATTCCACACCAATACCTGGGAGCGAGATGCCGCAACTCAGATTAGTCTTTCTGGGACATCCCTGGAGTTCCCTGTTACCAAACTGCCCCAGCAGTTGGACCAACTTTGTCCACGGTACTGAGCATCCTTTGAGCCTTCCTAAAGCTTCAAGTTCTGCGGTATTTGGCATAGTCATGGAGAGACTACCCAGAGATATTTTGGTTTGTTTTTTCTTTTTGATGTTGAGCCTGTTTTCTGTGAGTCTGGCTTTATCTCCTCTTCCTTGAAGGTAACAACTCTCCCTACTGACAGTGCCAGTGTTAGGGATGTAAGGCTGCTTTAACCGGATCTTCCTGTCCTTAAAAAAAAACCCAACCAAACACCAAAACTTTTGATGAATTCTATATGTCTTTTAAGGCCTATTTATTACTATTGAAGACAGAATGTTTTCCTTAGGCTTGTGGCTCTGGAAATTTCAGCCTCTTTTTTAAAGAGAGAAGAAAAAGCAAAATATTGGTGGTAAAGATGGAGGAAAGGTTCTGCTCTGTCTCTAAATGCTAATGCTACTTAGTTCTGAGAATTTTTCCCTACTAATAATTGGAAAGTGTTTCCTACTTCTTTCTAAATGAAAATGTTTGAAACTAAAAAAAAATTAATCTTGATTTCCAGCTAAGTTAGTAAATAGGAACTGAGTATGCTGTGAAACGATAGGAAAAAATGCCAGACTCTGCTCTTCACTATAAAAACAACCTACACTGGGACATATTAGGTACCTTAGCAAGTGCTTTATGGCTTCTTTGTTTTTCACTAAGCACAATTTTGAGTATACAGTAGCTCAACAGTAAGATCTTGGCTCTGGAGAGTGCATTAACACAGTGCTAACTTGGGCTTTGGCTCCAGTAGGACTTCAGTGCGTGCTTTACGCTTGTAGCAGTGCTTTCCTGAATAGAGATCAAATTATCAAAATACCGGAACAGCAACAGACCTTGCGAGCCTTGTAAACATGTGGCTTCACAGCTGCTCAGTGCCTTGTTGATGGTGAAGTTCCTCTTGGATCAAACATCCAGTTCACGCCATTTCCTCCCCAGCTGTCCTTTCTTTTTGACCTCCTATTTGTCTCTGCTGCCAGTGAAGCCAGCATGCTCAGCCTCAGGTCACCTGCACTCTCCTGCGTGTGCTCTGTGTTGGACGCGTGCCCTGCAACTCCGCCTGGTTGCTGTGACAGTCAGATGTCTCTCAGCTGTTTTCACCGCAGCCGCTGTAACTCAGCTGAATTTCATGGCTGTAGATTTTAGGCTACAGTTTCCCTTCATCTCACCAGAACCCAGAAAGTTGATGCTTTTATTTTGATGCAAATATATGGCCAAACTCTTCTCCGCTCATCTCTGTTTGGCTCCCTTGGTTTCCTGCAAAATCTGGGTCAGTGCCCTTTGTTAACTATTCTAGCTGAATTGCTGAGCTGCTCCCCCTGCACCTACCACCCTGCTGAGGTATCTGCCCTGACATTGTTGTGTATGTGAGAGTGTGGATGCTCGTAGCCAAACCCAGTCGTATGGAAGAACTTCCTGAATTGTGTTATTTAAGCTGGATGGAATCTCTGTTCTGTTTTACCTGTTATTTTTAACTAGCCCTTACCTCCTATTTTATTTTGTGTTTCCTTTTCTCCTTGTCCTCCCTAACTCTAGAGTAACCACCAGAAGTGGTGTGTGGTAGAGCGAGAGGTCTGGAGGGGGGATCTGAGGAGGCAGCAGTTGCAGAGAGAAGCTTCTGTCCCCGTTGCAGCTGACTCTGTGCGAAGTTTACTTGAGAGAAGTCTGAGGTCACAGAAATCCCAATGACATGAGATCTGGAGCATAGGAGGACAGGGACGTAACTGCCCTGACCTACTGGCCAAAACATTTAATGGCGTCGTCACCCATGCTGGTACTGTAAGGAAAGGAATCAGGCAAAACCTAACAGTAGTATGTCTGACAGAGTAATGCCGGAGTACGAAGGGTAAAAATGTGTATCATTATAGATCAGAGGAGAAAAGGATTGTTGTTCTTATTGCTGATGCTGCTTTGGTTGCTTCAGCAGCACCAAACAGCTCAGTCAATAGTATACGGACGTTTTAAGATGTTGCTATAAAATATATTTACGACTAGTTCGTTATTCTGTTGGGCTGAGGGACATGCAGTGCTCTGCGAAAGCCAAGCAATTTCAGGTGCAAATCAGCAACTTTTATAAATTCCTTTAGAGGTTTCTTGATCCCAGGACAGGTTTCATGACTTCGTTTTGCCACTATGGTTTGTTAGTTATGTCAAAGCTATGAATTTCCGGAATGTGCATAGCAATAGGGAAAAGTACATCACTGTACAAGGGGGACAACACGTTTGTCTGTGACAAGCCATGGGGTGACACACCAGGGTTGGAGGGGCAAGGTGCTACTAAAGGCTTTCAGCCGGTCACACTGAGGCGAACTGGGGACACAGCAGCATAGTTACAGTCTTACAGAGGTGAACCAGGGGCTCCTTAGGTAGTAGGAGCCAATGGGGAAACCTTCATAGAACACCTCAAGGGAATTAAGGGGTGTCCCACCAAGAAGGTGATGTGACTGACAGCCCAGCTGAAGTGCCTCTGCACGAATGCACGCAGCATGGGCAACAAAAAGCAGGAGTTAGAAATCTGTGTGTGGTCAAGGAGTTATGATCTGGTGGCAATTACAGAGACATGATGAGACAGCTCACATGACTGGAATGTGGTCATGGATGGCTCTGTCCTTTTTAGGAAAGACAGGCCAACAAGAGC